TGTGTATCAGGTAAGGTTAAAATTGACATCAGAATATAAACTGCACACTAAATGTGCAGTCTATATTTTGGTGCAATTTCAGCCCAGCATTGGCATTACGTGTAATGCGGTAGTTCAAATTAACTTTGTACTTAAACTTACAAAACTTTAGCTGGGCTCTACCGATTCAAATCCCAGACTACATACACCTACATACAGACTACATACCTACATACAGACAATGTATGTCCCACATTTCTGAAAGCTAGCTTGACAACAGAGTTTTATTGAGCTCTAAAATTAAATATGCAGAGAAACTAGGAGATGACATCTCCAAGGCAAAAACAAAGCATAGTTATTGTTCGATGCTGTTTCAAAAGATCGCTTTCCATATGAGTCAATACACTTGCAATGTTCCATTTAAACACCCTGTGCACAGCTGAGCATTCCCTAAAGAAAAAGAATGAATGACTTGAAAGCAAGGGGATCTAGACAGGCTATATCCAGATACTCTGATCATTACTAGATCACGATACTAGATCATTGCATTTATTGTACATCTAATCCTTCAGTACTGTATCTTACATCTCTGTTAACTTCACATCTGTCAACTGAAGGTTAAAATAAAACCAAGAGGTAAAGTGCCGTTTTAAAAGAGCAATTTACCTTTTGCTTTGATTTCAGCCCAGTTATCACTCCCAATTTAATATAATTTATAATTACATAGTCCAGATTAGTACAATTTATTATTACATATGTATTAATACCCTTGTTTGGCTCACAATGTAGACCTACAAGTAAAATTCCACATACAAAGTCCTAGGTTAATATTTGTTCATCAGATAATAAATTTATATTTTGGTAGGCAAGCTACTTACTGTATGGCACAAGGGTGAAAGGGAATTTGCATTAAGCACTTATTTTCAGGAGACTTATTTTCAGGTGCCAAATATTTTCAGAATTTACAGAATCTTTTAACATCTGCAAATATGTAAGCTGTGTATCAGGCAAGGTTAAAATTGACATCAGAATATAAACTGCACACTAAATGTGCAGTCTATATTTTGGTGCAATTTCAGCCCAGCATTAGCATTACGTGTAATGTGGTAGTTCAAATTAACTTTGTACTTAAACTACAAAACTTTAGCTGGGCTCTACTGATTCAAATCCCAGACTACATACAACACCTACATTTACATGACTGTGTATCAACAACCTTTAATATCATTAATAATTACCATTTTCAGTGGGAAGGTTACAGGGTAGAGTGTACTTCTCTAGGGAGGGAGGGGAGTAATTTGCATTTTTGAATTAAGATCTTACAATAGTCCTTCTCACGGTTACCTTCGCTCAATTGCATTACAATAAAATCTAGCATGTATGTAAGGGAATTTCATGCTATTTTGTAGTTTTAGTGCGAAATTGCCTTGCATCCACGTTGGATTACATTGTAATGAAAATGAGAAAAATTAACTGTGAAAAGGGCTATTAGAAAAAACAGCCCTGAGACTGACCATTTACAGTTTCAATTTTGTCGCACTTGACAAAAGAGTCAAAATTCTGTTGACTACGATCCTGTGATGTGACCTTGACTCATGTTCCAGTTCATCCCTTTCTTTCAGTCACGTAACTAATTAAAGTTCAGTTGACTCCAAAATTACAAAGTACAAAATTTGGGGGCTTATTTTTGAGATAAAAATCAGTCGACTCTGAGTTGAAAGCTGGGGCTGTTTGATAGTATAATAGCAATAAATTTTCAGAGCAACAACTGTAAATCATGTACAAACATTTATTATAATTTTATTTCTCCCCCCACCCTTGCCCCCCTTTAAATCAACACAGGAGGTGTTATGATATGCGGTAAACAAACTAGAGCGTCCTTCTTTCCTTTTCGTTGTTTTGTTCTGTTTTGTGTTGCCCATATTAAGAATATTAAGGAACAAGTGAAATAATAGAATACAGCTAAAGAAATCATGTATTCAAAATGCGGTTTAAGTTGATTCTAAGTACTGTTATCTGTTAAAGTGCAAGAAATTAGATAAGTATCACATTTTATAATTGTAAACACCGTTTATTTGTATTGTTTAACAGGGCAACTGAATGGCAATTAGTGTAAGTGCTTCTGGTGTAGGTTATTGTAATTCAATCATTGTAAGTAGTGTTAGTAATTTTTTTTTTCTGTTTTAGTGTTTCTTTTATGTTGTTACCATTCCAATAAAATAAAATAAAATAAAATAATATAAAATAAAATAATTTTATTTCTCAGTTACAATGCATGCTGTGATTGGTCAATTTGGCAGGCCATACCCTACTGAAAAATCAGCTATCATTTAAAGCTGTTTTTGTTGTAAGCCGGAGACTTTCTGTGACCTATCAACAAGCATTCTTAACTTTCAAGTAAAAGTTTGAAACTTTTGTTTAATTCTTTATTAAAACATGCTAACAACTTACAACAATTTAGAATTGACTTATTTTGCTTTCCGTGTGCACCACTCATTAAAAGCTGATCTGCATGAATAGAATTATCATTTCCTGAATCAGTCAGACACTTACATGACTTGTACAGTAGAGATACTGTACAATGTAATGTTGTACTCACCTTGTGTCTCTGTCCATATTGAACATTAAGGATCAGTGTTTCAGCTAGAAAATTTTACTTGAGAGCAAAAGTGGCCCCTGAAGACCTTTTTTAGGGGCCAATTTTTTTAGGAAAGGGGCCAATAAATTGAAAGCTACAGAAGGAAAAAATGCATCAGGGTACCAAGGAAAATGAAGCAGTTTATAAGGATCTATGATAATATTTAATAACTGCTTTTTGAAGTGTTTCTACTCAATAAAGTTTCTTTTGAATCAGATACTATTATGAAGGATCCGTGCATTACAAGAACAATCCTTAGGCATACATGAAGTAGTCAATGATCAAGGATTTGCAATGCATTATAGGGCGATTTCAAACACGGCCAGCCATTTGGAAGTTTTCCCATGTGAGAGAATCAATACAGCAAAGCAAAAGGACTGATTGACTTCTTTTCTTATGTTGAATGTTTTTAGAAGCAAAGATCTTTCAATATGATTTTCTTGAAGGACATAATGTGTGACAAAATAGCCATTATTGATTGTCAACACAGAGAAATGTAGTTGCCATTATGGCAACTAAACCAGAATTTTTGGTCGCCAAGGATGAAATGTTAGTTGCATTGGCGACTGTATCGGTCGCAATTACGAGCCCTGGGATGGCTTTAAAATACTATGTCTGTGTTAAGCCTGAACTCTTGTAAAAGGAAAGAGCCAATTTGCCCTTTTCTTGTTTTTCTGGGGGCCATCTCTGATTGCAGTGCAGGATTCCCGCAATGGCGCGCTCTGGCGGAAACACTGAAGGATCCTCATTCTTTTCTCCCTTTGGTTCAGGGCCCATGCGCTCCATTATAGGGCCACAAATAGAAGGGGAAAAAACTCAGCTGTAACTTACAGTGCAGACCTACTGGTAAGTAAGAGGTATGTGTTTTTCTGGTTACAAACTTGAACTTACCAAACCATTCTCTCCACTCAGTTTGTGTCTGTAGCTCTGCAGTATACTTCTCGAAAAACTCCACAACCTTATCATTTTTGGAATTCTGTATTGCGTGCACTATGTAGAGCCGCAAAAGACACATCTCCAACTTCTTGACATTTGAGTTGTGCTGATAGTCCAGTCTCTTGAAGAAACGATCATTCAAGTAGTCCCAGAAGTCCCTGAGACCTACGATGTCATAGCTTAGGATGTACTGGTACAACTGATCTACAATTTTATCCACCTGAAATTGAAAGGATAATGTGAAAATAATTATTACATCGCAAATTGATCCAAGAGAAAAAGGGGAATCCAAGTAGGTTCCCTTGGGGAGCCAAATTTTACAATATGCATGGAACATTAAGAATGACACTCACAAATTATTTTCAGTGCATTACGTTTTCAAAATACCGCAAAAAAGAGCATTTTTTTAGGAAGAAAGTCTTTTTGCCTTCTCACACACCGCTGGGAGCCATGCCAAGCCGAACCACGAAGCCTGACCTTTACTAACATAACAACATAATGTCCACATAATACAAGGCTGCTGCCTTATGGGCGTCCGGTCACCTGAGACGCCTAATTATTACGAGTGTGGGTGACTAACTGTTTGCTCAAGGAGCCCGAGTGGGGGCCCAAACATAGAGTTTTCATTTCCATGTAATCTGTCCGATGACTTCAATCTTCTCATGAAATCGGTCAAAAGATCATTCTCACAATATATCAAACGGAAAACAACAGCTACTCTGGTCTCGTTTTGCTTATATCATGATAAATATGGACCAAAACACGGTAACAAAAGTCTCTCTCTGCTCACAAGACAGCAGAAAACAGCCATATTTGAAAATCGCCCTATAATGCATTGCAAGCTCAGTATTAAATAAATGTAAATCATGTATGCCAATGGATGTATCTCTCTGTTGATGCCTCACTGATTAACTACATTGATAACAAATATTTTTGGAATTCGAGTGATGCTGCTGCTGACATTATATTTACAATTGAATAAGGATAAATGTGTCTAAACTCTTCGGCTTTTTTGTCCAATCCTGTAAAACTTCACTTAGATGTACTGAATGAATTTCTTTAGTTTCTGAAAGGATATTTACGACTTAAAAGTCAAAATATTCAAGTGACTAGCCAGCAAAAAAAAAAACAACAACATCATAAGATTGCAATTCTTTTTGCATACTAGGGTTTTATATTTTAAATTATCAGACGAATTGTCACGACTCCGCCCAATATATTAGAATACAGTTTCTCCAAACAAGCAGCCAATATAATCAATGCGGTAATGCTACCTCAAAATCACCTTCAGTTTATACTAATGTCCCAGCCCCAGGGAAGGAAAGCACATTTCAGTGAAGCCAAATTCAAACTCCCAAAATGCCTCTTTCATTTTTATTTGTTTTCATTTGCAGCTTGCATTTCATGATTTGTACAATGTATTTTGTTTTGTTAAAATAGAATTGCAAAACTCAAAAACAAAAGCAGCAAAATGAATTTTTGTGAAAAAGCTGCAGCAATTGCATGGATACACCAATTAATGGATTTGTTTGACCATAAAGAGGGTAGTAAAGGGGGAGTATAGATCACGTTTCACAGAAAATAAAGCAGCCCTTTCACAATTCACGAAAAATACAACATTGGCATTTCACGCTTCATGGAAAATAAAAGAGAACATTTTGGAAAATCACGGTTCATGGCGACTATGGAAATCACAATTCATGAGGAAACAAAATTATGGCTATTTCACATTTCACAGGAAATAAAAAGGGCCAATCACGGGTCACAAAAATACCCTTTACCACCCTCCATAAATAGTATTCTTTCTCAGTCATGACCTGATCTCTTTGCTGAATGCTTTATTTCAAAACTTTGATTGCTATTAGACCATATTAGTGTCCCATGGATAATCTCTGCCTCCAGACCCCTCCCCTAAATTTCCACAATTCACCCTACATCCCCCCATCTTCCCCAACCTCCCCAACCCCACAGATTGACCACCACAAAGTTTATCCCGGGCTCCTAAAAAAGTGGTTTGGGCTCCTTAAAAATTTCCTTATGCAACAGCCTTGGACATGACTGTCTTACAACAGCACAAAAAAGTGGTTAGAGAATAAATCCACTGCAACGTAATAGACTCTAAAAATACTTCACAGGTGGGTGGGTGGGGCATGTCAGGTAATGGCAGATGGCAAAACTAAAGCTCAACCTTGTACAGAGACATTTCTATACATGAAAAACTAGACATAATTATTGAAAACCAGAAAGCATTTTTTAAGTTTATGGCTGATGTAATGAGGGTAGGGTTTGTAGGTACACATGTACGTAATGACGTTAATCGGGGTTTAGGCCATGTGCCAAATATGGAGGGAGAGTCAAATGTTTCGGAAGGGAGAGACAGGGCATCAAGTGTTTCAGTAGGGAGGGATGGGGGATCAAACATTTCAGCAGGGAGGGATAGGGCAACAAGTGTTTCAGAAGAGAGGGACAGGGCATTGAGTGTTTCAGTAGGGAGGGACAGGGGGTCAAACATTTCAGCAGGGAGGGAAAGGGCAACAAGTGTTGCATCGAGTGTTTCAGTAGGGAGGGACAGGGGGTCAAATGTTTCAATAGGGAAGGATAGGGCATCAAGTGTTTCAGAAGAGAGGGACAGGGCATCAAGTGTTTCAGTAGGGAGGGACGGGGGTCAAATGTTTCAGTAGGGAGGGATAGGGCATCAAGTGTCTCAGAAGAGAGGGATTGGAGAACTTCAAATTTTGTTACTGAGGACATATCAGGAGGTATAAGCGACATTTCAATTGTTATGGGAGAATCATGTAGTTTGGGGGAGGGATACAGGGAAAATGATATTGTTTCACAGGGAAGTTTGCAGGATATTTCAAATGTTATGGGAAGGTTCAGTCAGGGATCCACGGAAAATATTGTTTCACAGGGAAGTAAAGGAAATCGAATTTTAGGGGACATTTCAAATGTTATGGAACAGGCAAGCGCTTTGGAAGAGGGTGATAAGGAAATTGGTAATGTTTCACGGGAACAGTCATTGGGGGAGGAGGATAAAATATTTATGGGGGAGGCATTACTTTTGAAGCGTTCAAGTTGTAGTGTGGGAAATTTCGCCGCTAAGTTTTTAAGCGTTATCTTTAAGCCGGAGGAGTTAATTAACCGTAACTGTACTGGGACTCGGGGAAAGTGGCAGCTGAATGCTGCGAAAATAGATATTGTAAAAAGGTATGCTCTAAAAATGTATCCATGTACCCCAGCACAAGAGGACTTAGTATGGAGGAAATGTATTATTGCTATCGACGAATTTTTGCGAAGGAAAAAGCGTGATGGCCGGGAACGACGAGATTAAATAAGCTCTATTTTTAATGTTACAGTAATTAATTCATATGTTTGAGTGCACTAAAATCCGCTTTCTTAGATTGAACCCTAACGGCCAGTTTGTGCGAAACAGTCCAGTTTGTGAAAAAATGAATTC